TTTAGAGCTATAAATAGATTACCAAACAAAAAAGCTGCTAGTCCTTCTGAACTTAACTATGAACATATCAAAACACTTAGCTCTAAAAGTCTTAACATTCTTTGTCTTTTTCTTTCTAAATGCCTATTTCTACAAGCATCCAACAGAATAGAAAACATCTAATATTTTTTTTATCTCTAAAAAATCTTCTTAGAATTTTACTTTGGATCAAGTACGACCAATCTCTCTAATAGAGCTACTGAAAAAATGTCTAACCAAAATATTTACTACACACCTTGATCAAATTATAAACCAAAACTAACTACTCAGCAACCTAATCTTCACAGATACAAAAAATAGCTCAACACACATACCAATTCAAATCCTACTAAATACTATTGAACACTACAAAGCAAACAACAAGGAAGCATGGATACTATTTCAAGACATGTTCAAAGCTTTCAATAAAATCAATATCAAATGTCTTATTGATGCTTGTAAAAGAATTGGTATCCCTCAAAATACTATTAAGTTTATCCAATTTCTACACCAAGATAGAAAAGCTAGAGTGATCATAGCTAATGGTCTTACTAATCTTATTACTTTGCATTCTGAAATCGAACAGGATGAAACCTTTTCACCACTTCTTTGGAAAAATACTATGACCCTATACTAAGCTATATCAATACTAAACATAAATCCAAATTCCTCAAAATAATAACTAAATCTCCTACTAATCTCATATTCTCAAATAAACATTCTTCTATCACAATCCCTCCATTAGCATTTATGGATAATACCATTTGGCACTGTGAATTAAAAGACACCTTCAGGAAATACTAAATGATGTTTCAAAACTTTACCAAATTAATAATATCCAAATAAACCTCTCCATATCAGATCTTCTCCACATATCCAAATCCAAACTTTCTCAAACTGACATATCACCTAACTCTCTTTTGACTTTTAAAAACCAACAAATTCTTCCTCGCAAATCAAATGAAATTATAAGATACTTAGGTATCTTTCTTGATAGAAACGGCACATCAAAACCTACAATAAATATAATCTCTAACAAAATATACCAATTCACTCACCTTATCCAATTCAAAAAACTTCTTCTAATACAAATCTCTTGATTTTTCAACACAATTTTATCACCTTTAATAGAATATCTCCTTCAAATATATTTTCTTCCTTAGAAAAAAATCAACTAACTTTTAACTAAACTTACCAAAAGTATTAAACATATGCTACATCTTCCAATCAATACAAATAATGATATTCTTACAAACTCTCAACTTCTAAATATCCTAATACTTAACAAACTACTTCTTTTAACAAACAGTAGCAATATTGACAAATGTCTAAACTCCAATACACTTTTATTCCAAATTACCTTAGCTCATATAAAAGAATAGTTGACTAAAATCTGGCAACCCATACTAACAAAGAAAACTATTCTCTCAAACCAACGAAAAACCTTAAATTTTACAATTATAAACTAACTCATACCTATCTATAAAAACAATATGTCACTCAACAACCCTTCTCCTAACAACCTACAAACTAACAACCAAACTAAACAACTAAATCTTATATACAACTTTCTTCCTAAACCAAATACAGCTATGACTCTAAGTCTTAAAAACAATCAAATCCTATTCATTGAACAACTTCTCATAGCAGATAACCAATTTCTACTTCTTTAGAAAAATACATATCTTAGAATTCACAAACTACCATAGAGACCAACTCCTAAATAGTATAAAAATCTTTCAGACCAAATCAAAACAACTCCAATCTCTGAAATTTGGCCAAATATAAATCTCTCACTGACAAATCCCTTTCTAAATACACTAGACCTCATAACTTTACAAAACCAAAACAAAAATCACTGGTCTCTACTCAATACCCAAACTGATTACAAAATTAGAAAGATTACTAATTTTTTACCTTCTCAAATAACAATTCAAATCTATCAAATCCTCTCACAAAATACAAACTCAATACTACTATCACTAACACCAAATCAACTCCATATTAACTATAATCAACTAATTAATATCAAATATAAAACACAGAAAGAAAACCAACAATTTAAACTTAGCATCAATCAACAAGAAATCCAAGCTCTACATAAAATATACTACTTCCTTACAACACCAACAACATATACTTTACCAGAAATTACAATCTCATTACCTGATATATCTCTTATATAAAACACAATTACAAACCAATACTATCAAAATCAAATTATAAACCTCTATAACAAAATCCTAATTCTAAATCCAAATAACTTATATTTCTACACAGATGCATCTATTAAAAACTCCCAATCCCCAAATATCAAAACTGGTATTGCATAGATACTTCAAAACAATACCTAAATCAAATTTAATAAATCAATTTCAAATGCATCAAACTCAACAAGAGCAGAACTCAAGGTCTGGCGATCTTAGTGTAGTAGTTAGGTTGCCAGACTGCCATGCAGAGGTCTGGAGTTCAAATCCCACTGTCGACAAATTTGAATAATTACCTGGACCTTTGTATTCAACTTACGGTAAACACTGTCTGTTTCTGGGGTTGTAACCCTGTAAATCACGTTGCACCAATATCATCTAGATATTGGAAGTATGATGGGGCATTTGGCGAGATGTAACATTACACAAATAAATCTTAACAGGATCTATGGGCAGGGGACCTGCATGGTAGAAATTCCAAGTAGGTGAAGTAGTACAGCCTTTGACGGTCATACTGGTCAATGCTTGATCCAGAAAGGAAACTATGATCAAAAGATGCAGATCGAGTTGGGTGCGCATAAATCCATTCCACAGGGAGGATCGGTAACACCAACCTGGCTTGGCGGCTAACTGGATTAGGAGGATCTGCCTCATAAAACATCTAAGAAAATAGAATACAGAAAACTGGTGGAGAGCCACAGTAGGAACTGGGTTGTATGAACATCTACAAGGGTCTAATCTAGGTGATCCTGTAAAATGTGTACGGGCTGCTCTAGTGGGTTTGCTTCAAGGTTAACTGGCTCTGCAATACTAGCAATGTGTCTGGTATAGTGTATCTTGAGAAGACCTAAGCTGATTTGGGTAAATGGATCTGTAATGAGCTAGCTGGCTTAAGTGATTAGGTGTTGCGGTGACGTTAGGTTTGGATCTGTATGGGTTAATAAACAGAGTGTTTAAATAGGTAACTCACAGGTGGGTTCAGGTATAGCAGCATAGTGTAGAACCAATCGGTTGGTCTAATCGCCTATGCAGCGGACTACTTAAATTAGACAATGACTAAAGTTGTATGTGTGGCTTGTTATACACTCTTCATGTAATTATAAACAGTAGGGATTATTAATATATAATTCCGTATGCAAATACTAATAAAATCCTGTCAGCAATGTAAGCCGCCTTAAACAATAAAAAAAAAAAAAAATAAAAATAAAGAAATTTTTATTAAGTAAAAGTTTTTTATGCTTCTAAGTAAAGTTGTAAAGTTCTCTTTTCTGGTTCTAATGATATGGTGCTCCAAGTTACTTGTCATCAAGTGCACCAAATCTGGGTTAATATATTTAAAGTATGCCAAATTTGGCTTGATATATTCAAGATGTGTCAAATTTAGATTTTGGTTAGATATAAATTCTTAAAACTCATGAGATTCCGAAGTAGACAATCAATGAATTTAAAATACGAGCATGTTCTCTGAAAAGAACCAGAAAATTTTTAAAGATTCATATAGGCTAGATACTGAGAAAAGAGATGAAGTAAAATTGACAAAAACAAAAAAAAGATCTTAGAAAATTAAGAAAATAAAATACCAATTTTAAGATACTATATTGCAAAATTTTATTAACACAATACTTGTAAATTTCATAGCATCTAGCCTATATAAATAAATAAATTTTTATAAAATATAGTTGATCACATAAACAAATTTTCACGAGTAGTACATCATAGCACATATTATTTCGATCGCTTGTACATAATTTTGATCTAGTGCATTACACAGCACATATTATTTCGATCGCTTGTGCATAATTTTGATCTAGTGCATTATTTTGATCATTTATGCATTATTCGGATCATACTATATTATTACTTTAGAAGATTAGAATCAGCAGTCAGTATAATTTAGAATTAGATTTAGCTTTGAAAATTTATATATGACAATTTTTTTTAATCTGACAAATCCATCAAATATTATATGAAGTGCGCATTGATGTTATTTCAAAGCTATCTATTTTTAAAAGTATATTTTTAAATTAAACACAGTTGAGTTTTTACTAAATAATTATAACTATACCAATACTATAATAAATCTAGGAAACCTAAGCTTATAAATACTAACATATATAAAGTTTTTGGTTTTATATGTCATACCTTCCCTTTAACAATTTACTTTTTACAGGCCAAATACAATATGACAAAAGTGTAGATTTTTTTTTTTTAGTATTATTTATTTAAACTTATACAAAGCAAATGATAAGTATATAATTCTTATTCTTAATTTTACACTATTAGTATTTATTAACCTAACTCCAAATCAATTTTATTAGGTATACGTCTATGAAAACGATACTTACGTACAGCATATTCTGCTATCTAGCCAGTAAGTCCATGTCTATAAGTATTCATATAATACCATGCCTTTCGTGCAAAACAATGTATAGCTGTAAGTGATACTGAATCAAGTGCTTCAGATACAGTAATTTGTAATTCAGACTACGAATAATCACAATGCTCATGTGAATAACATTTTACAGTGTCTCAGTATCGTTCAATGAAATTTAACTCAAAGTGATACTTAGGATAAAATACACAAACATGACCTCGTTCAATGATAAGTTCCTCTAATGCAGATTTTTGCATAATAAAATCAGGCTGTGCAGACAAAAGGCAATACGCATAACAATTAGGTGCACTTGGATCATAATAGTTATTTCTACACTTTAATTTTAAACCACTAGTAGGCCATAAGTTACGCTCACAAAGTATTTGTTGAATACCCTTTAGCTAATCACAAAAGATATAATTAGAATCATTAGGAGAAAGATCTTTAGGAAAAATCATTGACTGAGTAATTTGTTCACCTTGCGTATTAATAAACCAACCGTCACATAATCTTAACTGTTTACCATTAGGATAAAGATTCATGTTTTTAGTACATAACGTATCACTTGTAAAAGTACTATAATTGGTGCTGTTATCAAATGCAAAGACACCAATACAGTTTGGGTGAGTTGCTTCAAAAATAGGAATTGCTTTATTGGCTACTTGTGTAAGCAAGTCAGAAGCATTCCACTAGCTATCATCATTTTTTCTAGGTTTGATAATAATACGAGCTTCTTGTGGGAATGTTAGTAGTAGGTTTAATTCATTTATTTCTGCAGAAATAATTGTGAAGTGATCACGAGTCTCAGTTAGAAACTCTGAAATTATAAGTGCTTTACCCTTTTCTTTTTTGCATAGTAGCGGCATACCAAGAGAAGCCCATACTGAAAGATGACCATTATTCGCATAGAATATACACTCATCATAAGTGACAAGAATATGCATTTTTTTTTCTTCACTTATTTCGGGGTTAATAATTATTTCCATATTTTCACCAACAAATTGTGACATTAAAGTTTCAAGATCTTTCATTTTTTCAAGAAATATTATACGATATTGTACAATATCAGAATGTTCATACCTATCATAGTAAATACTTTGTTGATACTGTTGATATACGAGGCCAAGACAATGAAGCTAAGTTCGAGCTGTCTCTAATGAAATTGAAGTACAAGAACTAGTAACATGTGGTAAAACATTGTTCTGAACATAATTCTGAAATTTTTCAGCAGTTATTCTTTCACCCATAGTACGGATAAAATGCAAGCAAGAACTTTGTACATCCTCATCATCAATAAGAGTTGGTATGTATTTTCATTGTCCTTGCTTAGAGACAGGTAAAGTTTCAGTTGTAATTCAACTCTTTGACTACTCATGGATATGATATGCTATCCATGGACTATGTTGAAAAACTTGTTGTGATATTTCAAGACTTAGTTTTACACAGGAATATGACTCTTCATGATTGAAAATTGCAGCAAGGTATTTATGCATGACAAGAAGATGGAGATATTCATAAACGTTCATATTTTTCATATTTTTGAGATTATTACTTAATTTATTTATTTTTTCTGAAATAGAACTGTTATTTTCTATATCTAAATCGCTTATATCTGAGTCTGACATTTCATATTTAACTTCTAATTTTTTTACAGGTTTAAAAAAATTATCCAAACTCATTGATCCTTGTGCTACCTCCTGTAATCCTTTATTCTTGCATTGCTGAGTACATTTTGAACCACTATAATAATACAGTAACCAACTACTAGATGCTTTATTATCCTATTGAATATTATAAAATAAACTATTTTCATAAACTAACTGCTTAGCTTCTTCTTCACTAAGTTCTGTATTCCCATTATTAAATTCCTCCTCATTACTGCTCTCAAATTCATAGACTAAAAGTTCAGAATCACTATATTCTAGATTGTTATATTCTGGATCTGCAGCTAAAAACCTTCTATCATTATTTCTACTTTGTGTAAATATATGTTTTTTTGCAGCATTTTTGAGTTTTGATTTTGGTATTATTAAAATTTACGAATATAAAATATAACGAGATAATATTGTGAAGATAAGATAATTAAGAACACAGCTTTATAAAAAAATGTAGCTTTATATTAAGTTTCTACTATACATGATGTCACTGATAAAGATATGTTTCACGCTTATTTTTGTTTGAAAATCATATTAACTATGTATTTAGATTCATAAATTTGGATCAGTTTTTTTAAAAAGTCTTAGTATTTTGTTGTTAAATAATGATACATAAAAAGAAAAACTTGTAAATATTTATATTATCGACCTCAAAGAACCTAGACTATTATGAGAGAGATTTTTTTTTCATTATTTCTTGATTAAAAACTATTATTACTGTAAAATTAGTTTTAGTAGTTAATGAGGCAGAAATTCTATAATCAATTTATGCTTATTAACCTAATTATACCTACAGGTAATATAGCTGCACTGCTATTATATACTATTGAATAATATACGAAACATTCGGATGAATTAAAACTTAAAATTTATATTCTTATGCTAAAGGTAAAACTTAAATTTTTATATTAGATGATCCTTTTTTAGAAAATATATTAAATAAACCTGAATTAGTCTGGTTGGTTATATATTCAAATTTGGTTAAATGGTTTTACTTTCTTAACTAATATGCATTATCTTTATGCAGCGATGAATCGGTCATCAATAAGATAAGTTTCAATTTTTAGCCTATACATATTAGTTCAGATTACAGTCTTAATAAACTAAAATTAGTTTTACATAAGTGACTCAAACACTTTCTTTTATTCTCTGTAATACCTATGCTCATATTATAATATTATACTGCAGGAGTCCAAAATTAAAGTTTCCTACTACGTAGAAGAACTATGTTTAGCAGATTTTAAATGTAAATCAAATACCTTCCTTTTATTCTTCGCAGTGCCAATATCTTCTTTATAATAAGACTAAGATTATATTGTCCACTAGAGTGCTCACCTTCAGCAGATGTTAAATACTATTCGAGTACTTTCTAGAAGTACCCATTTTCATAACAATATCTAAGAGAATTTTGCTCCATTGTGTTACTACCTTCTGTTCTTCTTTGGAAGTATATGTATGTAATACTATTGTTATACTGCTCATAAAAATCAAAATTTTCTGCAGATTTTAAGTACATACAATATTGCTGCCAATTTAACTTAAAATATCAAGGTGTACAGCAATATAAACGATTCCCTAATTAATAAAGTTCTAGCTCTATAAAATATGCATCAAGGGCAAATTTTAATCGAAACTCATATCACATATAATAAGTATTCTTCGCAGCCCCATTATTTAAGTAAAAGGTACAGATTAAAAAAAAAAAAAACACAAATTGATTAAATAATTGTAATTATCTATAGCATTAAATCAACTTTGTTAAATTGTTAAATTAGCATCACATAAAAAATTTATAATAAATATTTAATCTAAATGTAAAAATATATGTATATGCTAAAACCCTATATTAGCAAGAAAAAAAGTAACTTATAAAACCGATTTTTAAGTAAACTGATCAAACTGATTAATACTATTATTTAGTCTTGAGAGTTAATTTATATTCATGCCAATTTTATGTAGATCGTATATGTGACGCTAATTTCCATAAAAACTATATGTAATAACATAGTGCTAATTTTATAAATTACATAATAAATCGTATAAAATTTCTAAACTTTAGCTGCTTATAACTTGAATGTTTAGGCTTTTAAAAAAATTTTACCTGATAATTTGAATAGAACTAATGAAAAACAATAGTTTTTATTAGTTATATTTTTAAAAAATATTTAAAACTTAAGATTTTATAAATTTTTAAAAAGTATATAATTTTTGATGAGAAGTGACTTAGCAAACTATAGTAAAAAACATAAGAGAGTAGCTATATATAATTTTTACTAAAGCTATACTAGAAGCAGTATAGTATACTACCTTATTTTCTCATTTTTTCTTTTTTTTCCTTTCTTTTTCTCTCTTTATTTTGTTTTTACATATCTAGTCTAGTTTGTTTTAACCTGTAGCAAGTTTTTTTTATAATCTAGATATTTAGTATAGATTGTTGCTACTCAGATCTTATACAATTTTTAATTTTTTTTCATGTTAGTTAGATTATATTTTATCTTTCTTTTTAGAATAGTATTTAGGATTAAAGATAGGATAGTCTAGCTAAGGCAGTCTTAATACAGGCTAGTAGTAGCCTTCTATTAATTGAGACTAAGCAGGTATACTTAGTCATATACTTAGTTTTAGGAGGAAAATTTTGCTACTGCAACAGATCACACTTAAACACTATTTAAACAGCTAAGTGAATTTGGAATTGCAACAAGACAGACATACCTTAAATTAGAATTTTTTTCTTTTTTTATATATTTGTTTAAATATCTTAAGATATTTGTTTAATAAAATAAAGAATAAGATCACCTAAGTTTAAAAAAAAAAAAATTAATTAGAAGATAGTTTGAGAAGAGATATTGTTAGAGTTAAGAGTATTTAGAGTATTTGTTATTTAATTAAATAGTATTTTTTGTAGATTAATTGAGTGAAGTATATAAGAAAATATATGTTTAGTATTCTTATATTGATTATAATATATATAGTTAAATATAAGATATAAGTTTGAATAGTGAGTATTTAAATTTGCTATTGTTGAAAAGTTGTTTAGAATAATTTTGTTTCTGAAAGAATATAGTTTTAGGTTATTGTTTTGTAAATTTATTATATTAATAAATTGATGAATATTGAAAAATTGTAGATTATAAAATATTTTAAGTTGTATAAGTTTGTTAAAAGTTTGAATTGAAAGAATATTTGTACAGAATTTTCATTTTTTAAGTAGTAATAATATTTAGTTCTATTGGAAAGAGATAGATAAATAGAATAGTTTGGTATTAAATTAAATTTCTATTTTGTTAATATCTTGTTTAGCTAAAAAGTTAGTGATATTATGAAAAGAGTTTCTAGAATATAATTTAGTTTTATAAATAGTAAATTGAATATTTTTTTTTGAATTAAGTAATTTAAAATATGAATAATATCCTAGTTATTTATATTAGTTTGTATAGGGTAATTATAAAGTAGATTGTTTTTGAATATTTAGATTGTAGATAGATTATCTAGATATATATAGATTTTGTAATTTAATAGAAATATTAGAAAGAAGTAGATAATTACTAATAGTTTAGCTCTTATAGAATTTAGATTATAAGATATAAATATGTTAAATTTTATTTAAGTTTTGTTTTAAAGAATCTATATAATATTTGTTTTGATATTTAGTATTTGTAAATATTTAATTAATACATTTGTATAGAAGTAGAGATTTTCTAAGTTTAGTAGTAGAATTTGGTTATGAAGATTTATAAATTGGTTTTAGTAAGTTGAATTAGTAATTATATTTTAAATTAGAAAAATATTAGATGAAAGAATAGTTATTTCTAGAAGTATAGAGATTAAAAAGTTGATAAGAGTATTGTAAATTTTTTGTAAAGCTAATAATTTTTATTTATTAATAGAAAGTTTGAATTGTTTTTTTTTTTTTGTGTTTTATATTTTATATTAATTGTTTATTATAGTTGATTTGTATTTTAGTAAATGAAGATGAAATATTATTATAGGTAGTATAATTTAAGCCTTCTTATACTTTATATATAACAGGAACACAGCTATTTAGAAACTTTAAGAAGCAGTATCAAAGAGAAAAGTATAATTTTTATTATATTAAAGAACTATATTCATCTTTAAAGAGTAATAGTTTATTTATAATTATTATAATTAATATAGTTTATTAAAGATAAATATGTTTAAGGTAAAATATATAAGTAGTTATACTTTATAACTATATGGAAAGGGATTTGAGTTCTATTATTAGAGAAAAGAATTTGAGAGAATCTAAACTGATTAACTAATTGATTTTTAAACTTAAAGAGAAAACTACTTGTATTTATATCTTTTAGTAAAGTCTTGTGGAAGGGTTACCAAAAGATCATTAAAAGGTTATCTAAATATTGTCACGCCTATAATTTTCTATTTCTTTATTTTTCTTTTATTTTATTTTTAGTTTTATTATTTGATTTAGTA